TCCGCTGCCACCCCGCTGCGTTCTGAGCCCTTGTCGGAGGAGTCAGCATCGCTCTCATCTGGGGCTCTGGCCGCGGGACAGGGGGCGAGGCGGATGCCCCGTGCGGGGGCTCGCCCTGCTCCTGGGCCTTGGGGGGCACCGGGCCCGACGTGGCTGCGCCCTCGATGACCTCCTCGGCCCTGCGCCCTTCCTCGGAGCTGGCGACCCCGCGGGGGCCGCTCGGCCTTCTCCGACTCCTCTCCGATCTCGCGGAACTGCCCGACCAGCACCTGCTCCGACGGGGCTGCAAGGACCGATCAGACGCCGAGGAACCAGCTCGCGCTGCGCGGCGAGGCGGCTGCTGCCTCCCTGGATCCGTGAACCCAGGAGAGCCCAGAATTGAATCGATAAGTCGGATCGACGATCGGAATGAGCCGGATCGGCGGCAATCGGCAGCCACATCGGGAAAAGTCGAATCGGCGGACATCGGCAGGCCAGTAGGCCTCCATGGAGGAATCGGCATCCACATCGGAATCCGAAGTCGAGTCGAATCGGAATCGGAAGCCATCGAAATCGAATCGAATCGAATCGGAGGAATCGAAATGAGCCCTGTGAACCTCTGCGCGCACAGGTCGGCCACCCTCGCCGCGTCTCCGGCCAGGCGGCGCCCAAGACCTCGGCGAGCGCCCCCATCCCGCGCCCTATCTCGCCCGGCGTCGCCGGGGGGCACTGCGCGTACACCCTGCGACATGCTTAAGAAATCATGGGTTAAGAAATTCATAGTCCCAGATTTTGGGTAAAAAACCAAGATTTCCTTCAAAATCTTAGGTTTCTTATTGAAAAGTCAAGAATAATCGAGACTCTGGCCGAAAACTCAGCTTTTCTTAAGCATCGCCTGAGGTGTAGACAACGGTCGCGATGTGCGGCAGCCATCGCGGCTCGGACGGGATGTGTCCCGACGCGGCGGCTCCTCCTCGGGCGCCATGGGAGGCGCTCGCCCTCCTCGATCGCCAGCTGCAGAAGCGGCCCTGGGCACCGGCGAGCGAAAAACACGCCAGATCCTCGCCGGCCCGAGGCAAAGCCTCGCGAAAACTCGACTTCTCGTCGGTCGCCTCGCCCGCGTCCACCACCAGCGGCGATGGCCCGCTGCGCCGCCCCCCCGGCCTTGGACGCGCGTCGTCTTCAGGCGGGGCCCCCCGCGCACTCCCGCGGCGGCGCTCGGCCATCTCGGCGAGCACATCGCCGACCTCGGCCCGGTCGGGGCCGACGCCTGCCCGACTCCGACCCACTGGATCGGACGCTCCACTCCTCTGCCTGAGCCCTGCCGGCTTCTTCTGCAGGTCAGGGCGCGTGACGCCAGGAGGTGGGGAGGGAGGCGGAAGGGGCGGGGCCCGCTCAGCGTCGTCATCGCCACCGCCACCAATGAGGAGGAAGGCTGCAGAGTGGAAGCAGCCGGAGGTGTCATCGCCTAAGAAGAGGGCGACCTCGTCCTCCATGAGGGCCGCCTGGGCGTCTTCGCACCTTGATGTCACAAACTCAGGCCTCTCGTCAAGGGGGGAGGGAGGCGGAAGGGGGCGGGGCCCGCTCAGCGTCGTCGTCATCGATGAGAGGCGCGCTCCTCCAGCGGCGCCCGCCGTCGGGGCGTCGCCCCCCTCTCACTGGGCGGCGGCGGCGCGGCCCCCTGCGAAGGCCGAACATGGGGCCTCAGGCGGCGCGCACTGATGCGCGGCCACTCCGCGGCATCGCCGTCGCAGAAGTGGAGGAGCCTTTTGCTCTTGCCCCCACGCAGGAGGCGATGCAGGCAGTTGACGCCCGCGCCCTCGACGGCGTCGACGAAGACGGCCTCGAGGGAGGCGCCGCCCTTCCGTCGGCGCTGAACGTCTTGCCCTCCGCCCCCACGAGGAAGTGGCGGACGTTGCCGCTCGCCTCGCTACGGACCTCGACCACGCCTCGTCGCCGACCGACACCTACACCCTGCGAAATGCGTAAGAAATCATGGGTTAAGAAATTCATGGTCTCAGAAATTGAATAAAACCCAGAACTTCTATCAACAAATCTTGGGATTTACATTGAAAAGTTAAGAATAATCGAGACTTTGGACGAAAACTTAGGTTTTCTTAAGCATCGCCTAAGGTGTAGGGCTTGGGGGTCGCCCCCCGCTGCGGGGGACCCTCGCGCGGCCGACGACTCTTCGCCTCCTCGCGGAGCGACGGGCCCCCTGCGAGGCTCCACGGCGGGAGCGACCGCGCCGTCGGCAAGGCCCTCGTCTGCTCCCTCGCGCTCTGCCCACGCGCCGCGGGGCCCACGTCGCGCCCGCTGCTGGGGCAACCTCGGCCTTGGCTGCGCTGGTGAGGGACGACGCGGCTGCTGCTCGCTCTGGCACGGCCGCCGCCGGCCTGGCCCTCGGCCGACGTGGGGGCGCCTTCGGCCGCCGCGGGCTTGCGGCAGCAGGCTTCTTGCCGACCATCCTCCGCTCGCGCCTGCGGCCCTGGCCCCAGCGGGGCCGTCGCTGTGAGGCGAC